TGTTAACCGGTTTCAACCGGCTACTGAGGCTCGGTGGTCGGTCAAGAAATTTTTTAGTTTTCGCCATCCCTACTTTGGATCATAAGCTGTTCCAGCTCATCTCCATACTTTTTTCTTTCCATCATTCTAATACAGGTTGATCTTGGTTTCATCTGTCCAAAGAATGCTGTTCCAGAACTGTGCTGGCTTTTTTAGATGTTTTTTTGCAAAGTCCAGTCTAGCCTTTCTATTCTTAAGGCTTATGAGTGGCTTGCATCTTGCAGTGAACCCTCTGTATTTGCTTTCATGCAGTCTTCTTTTTATGGTAAACTTGGATATTGATACGCCTGCCTCCTGGAGAGTGTTGTTCACTTGGTTGGCTGTTACGAAGGGGTTTCTCTTCACCGTGGAAATGATTCTGCGATTTTTCTGTTTTCTCTGCCTAAGTATGTTTCACCTGCATACTGAGTTCCTTTGGCCGCATGTTGCATGTTCAGACCTCAAACTTCCAAATGCAAACAAGACACCTCAAATCAATTCCAGGCCTTTTATCTGCTTAATTGCTAATGAAAGAATGAAGGAATTGCCCACACCTGTCCATGAAATAGTTTTTAAGTTACTTTTGGCCCCTTTAAAAAGAGGATGGTACATGTTAATGAGCTGAGACTCCTAAACCCTTCATCCAGTTTGAATGTGGATACCCTAAAATTAAGTTTGAGAGTCTGCACTTTATGTCCATGCTCATTGTATAACTTTAATTGGAATATATTTCACTAAACAGGTAAAATAGTAAAATTTGTGTCAGTGTCCGAATATTTATGGTCCTGACTGTATCTGTCCAGTGTGTGTCTGTCCAATGTGTTTGACACATCTGCCCAATGTTTGAGTGACATATCTGCCTGAGACTATTAAAGCAGCAGGGGGTAAACCAAGTTGATGAGTTATGAGTTTACAACACAGATAGACTGTATGGCTGTTTCTGTTTCTAACTCATTTCCCCTCAATTCGTTTGTGACTTGTTTAAGTATTTGTGTGCTTTTGAACAAATCTGGCATAAAATACATGTACATCATCTGGGAATGAAACCCCGGGGGCTGCTACTGTGAAATTTCATGGAGTTTCTGGTCATACCAGACATCCCTAAAGTCGCTGTCACCTACTAAACGACCACATTATGCTCCCCAGGGGCATCCACGGATAATAGTGGACCTGAGTAACCAGGGCCCTGCCTGGGTGGGGCACCCTCCAAAAGCCTCGGAAATAATTTGATTTTGATGTATAATTTTGATATTCTTTTATTATAGGAATAAATATCCACCTGTTGTTCCCTTTAATCTGTTTAACTAGCCTGCTTCCTGCCTGTATGCCCCCCTCCTTGTCCCCCTCCCCCACCTCTAAAAAAAAAGTGGTTTGATCCGCCAGTGCACAGATCTGTCATGTAAATAACAGTCGGTGGCTTTCACCAATTCTGAATGCAAAATGAAACCGAAACTAAAACCATGATTTCAGAAGCAGAAGGAGTGTAGTGAGTGAAAGAGGGAGACAGAGGGCAGACAGCTGCTGAACAGTTTATTTCAGAAAACTTTCTCAGGAGGGGCTTTGGGGGGTGGGCAAGGGGAAACGGGGGGGATGTAATGATTTGGCATGGTGAATGATGATCCTCTGAGCAGCTTACAGAAAACATGGGTATTTTTATTGCAAACTAAACTCAGAAAAAGAAACAGAAAACAAAAGGAACCAGGAGGGGCCTGAACACAGGTGGGAAGGCACACAAGAACTAGACCAAGAATTTGATACTGAGGCTCGAATTACGTGTCAAATTCACTAGTATCTCTGTCAATGAAGGACTGCTTAGAGGTTTAGTTCATTCTGGGAAAAAAAGCATGATCTGTGAAGCTTGAATGAATTTTTGGTCAAATGTTAACATCAACTGGACATAGAACACCATAATATTCTAAGTACGTAGAATCAGCCCTTGGACTCCTGGTATTCAGATTGATACAGGGAGCCCCCAGTGGGCTGGGTGGTGAGTGACAGTTACAGAAATCGGCTCACAATAAGACAGTAGCCGGGCTTTTGCTGACCACCCCCCAGGCCCGGTAATCAGAGCCGAGGTGGGGGATCTTAAACAAGGCCAGCTGTAGCTACAGCATTCAGCATCATGGTGTGCAACATGAGATGCATTACGAGGGCACCCTCTATGACAGCGGTTTAGCTTCATAGAGTACTTGTTTCTTCTCCAGTCCTTACACGAGGGGTGGGCAATCTTATCTGCAAAGGGCCAGTGTGTATGCAGGTTTTTGCTGCAATTCCATAATTAAGTCACTAATTAGAGGACTGATTAGCTGAAGAGTCCTCACACCTGGGTTTAAACAACTCATCTACAAGTTATCCCAAAAACCTCCATACACACCGGCCCTTTGCGGATAAGATTGCCCACCCCTCCCTTACACCATCTCCTATGCTATCTGTCAAAATGCTCTGCATTTTCTAAGTATGGATCTGAAGCTGGTGAGGCCAAGCCTGCCATGGGGGGACTAAATGTACTGCAGGTCATTTAGAGACTCTAGTGCACCTAAACCACACATGTTTTGACAGAGAATGGAAGCTGGAGGATCTGGTGGAATCCAGCAGAGACACATCTGTAGAACATCTGTTGTTGAGTTAAGCCTATCCCAGGCCATGAGGCATAGGACACCCTTGATAGGATGCCAGTCCACCAAAAGGCTCACTCTCATACACTGCAGGTGCACCTAAACCACACATTTTTGACTGAGAATGGAAGCTGGAGGATCTGGAGGAATTCAGCAGAGACACGTCTGTAGAGCATCCAGACTCCAGACACACAGGTGCAGGACTCTGACCTCCCTGGAGGTGTATGACTACAATTGTCCCTACTGGGCCACCAAAATGGCCCTTATTATGTGGGTATGGTTCAGGTGAAGCACCATATTCTGCTTTTGTGTATTTAAGGTGGAGTAAAACAGTACCAGTAAAACATTCTGATAAGATCCAGCTCTGGGCCATCTGACCAAAACTGCATCTGCTTTGTCTAATATTTCTCTGTAAATTTTGTCAAGGTTGGTGATCTGACTCTTACCTGCTGTGTCATATTGCATTTATACATTTCTACACTGCAAGTTACACTGTGTTTTGGGATCAGTCGACTCATTAGGTTATAGCAGTTAGATCAGTGATTCTCAAGCTTTTTGCAATAAGAATCAGCTCAGAAAATGGCTCTCCAAGTACCACCATATATGACCAGCATTAAAATACAGCAGCGTAAGCCTTATTATATGTGCAAACAAATATAGTTTACACATGTGGCAATTTTATTCCTAATATGAATAATATTTAGCATTTACTGTAACACTCAGGCATTAATGCCACAGGACCACGGAAGGGGATCATGTGATTTTGTCCATCCAATCACATAATTGTCCATCCAGTCACATAATTCCACTCTTCCAATCCTAACACATCGTGGCGAGAGAATAACAATGATTTTGATGATGGCAAAGGTGGTGATGATGGTAGAAATGTTGGAGGTTCTGGTGCAAGTGGTGATGTGATGGTGGAACAGATGATGGAGGTTCTGGTGACTGTGGTGATTGAGGTAATGTAGACAGGTGAAGGAAATAATGCTCATGGTGCTGATGATGAAGCAGATGATGGTCCTGATTGCGGTCCTATCTTTGCTGGACTGTGGGCCTACAGAAATGGTTTTGGTCGTAGTGGTGGTGTTTATTCTGCTTGTTGCCTAGTTGCCCCGGCAGTGAGGACGTCACTGTTTCCCCTGAGGGGGATTTTGAGCCTCACTTCCCTCCTGGGGCTGCTGCTGTCTGCTCTGCACTAGGGGGCCTCATCTTCTCCACTCCCTGTCAGCCTTCTGCCTCCCTGCATCTGTACTCTGGCATCACAGTCTGATTCCATTGCTGTGTGATGAGCTGTGTAGATCTACAGCCCTTCCCTTCTTCAGAAGGTCTCTTGTTCACATACCACCTTTGAGGTCAATTATATAAGTAGATAGCTTGATGTTATTAACATATTACATAAGATTATTTTATCACTCCACTCAGTTAGCAATCTGTGTAGAAGGGCCTAAGTACAGTTAAACTAATAAGCTAAACACTTCGATAAGCTCTTCTGAAAAAATCTTCATGTGATTAAAAATTCCAGTGATGCAAAGGAATATGAGACCATTTTATTTCAATTTATTTGATAATTTCCAAATCAACAGGCTAGTAATGAAACTGACATAGACACTGAAGAAAACTTGAAATACAGACGTAGAAAACTGATCCAAACCACAGTTAAGACTGAGACAGACACTGAACCATGCAGGAATCACCAAGTTATTTTATTAATATGTCTGATTATATCTATAGGCTGGAGGAGACAAAAACTTGGGCAGCAGCTCTCGACACCATCAGAATGAGCTGTTGGCACTGACCCCAAATACGATGAATTCATGGTGTCTCTCTACTGTGTCTCCTAATCAAAGTTGTCTAAGTAATTATCAGCAAAGTTGAGCATCTGCTTCATAGCACTGAGGAGCAGGATGTCACAGGTGTCATTCAGCTCAATCTCACTGGAGTAATTCTTCACTGGAAGCACATTTGACTCCGCAATGCCCAGACATCCACTTGCTTTTTTGATCTGCAGAGAGACATTTACATTCCTTTTCAAATATATTTTCTTCAGTTGCTGTGTTGCAAGATTAATGTCAAACAGGGTTGTAATAAGTCACAATTGAAACAGCAGAAATCTGTGTTTAGCAGATGCTACTGAATGTCAATATACAGCTAAAGTTCTAAAGCTCTTGCATGCAATAAAATATCAGACACAAATCTGTCATCCATCCATAACAGGGTGATGGTGAGCATATCCCAGGAAACAGAGGATCTGAGGAAGGAGACACCCAGGCCAGGATGCCGGCTCATTGCAGGTCACACAGTCACACACTGTGGGCAATTTAGAGATACCACTTCCCCAAAAGCATGTTTTCACCTATTGTCACAGTCACAAGGAAAACATGCAAACTGCACAGACATGGAGTGGAGGTGGGATTCAAAGCCCCAACCCTGGAGGTGTGAGTCCACAGTGCTACTCACTGAGTCATGTAGCTGCCAGTAAACACGTTTGTTAGAGAATAATTCCGGGCTCCAGACAAAAAAAAGAGGAGCCATTGGCCCCTAAACCCAAAATGTACAGGAGCCAAATGTTTTTATGGAGCCATAATCATCATTACATGCCAAATGTGAAATAAATAAAAAATACCTGCATGGCACATTTTGTCTCCAGTCTACCTCACAGTGCCTTTTTTTCTTTCTGAGCTATCTAATCTGCCTGCTACTGCCTTCAGCATTCTTATACATAATAACATAATAATAAATGACACAGAAATATTCAATACATAAAATGCAGTATGAAAGCAAGACAGCTGCATTATTGAATGTGAAGTGCACACACAAATATTGAAATGTGAAAACTCGCCTGTAAAGAAATCTGGAAAACCAAGAGGAGATGCTTTCTTTGAAAGATATTACAATTGGGAGACTGAATATAAAGCTAACTGTACCGCGGTGTCATAGATAAGGTTTACCTCCCTGGTATTCTCCCTTGATGATGTAGGGTATGTTCACACTAGGGAAGCCAGAAAATGCAATGAAAAGGGCAAAGCGTTGCACTGCGTTTTAATTTTTAGCATGTGTTTTTCCGCATTTTCATCTCGCGGTTGTCCACGTTCTTGTGAGTCTTTCTATGTTTTTAATGTTGTGTTGTATTAGCCGTTTTTATGATTCTACATGATTGTCGCTAGTGTTTCTGGAGAAAAAGAGGGAATGTGTTTGCATCCATTTTTCAATTTTCATCAATGGGAGTGCGCAGCACAGAGAAATGCAGCACACTAGTGGGAACATCATACATTGTTTTCTATGCAATGTACAATGTTACAGCAAATCACAGAAAGCGTGCGTTGATGAAAAGTGCAAAGCAACGCGCATAGTGGGAATGAGCCGTAAGCCCAACACCACAGTAAAGTTAACTTTATATGCAGTTTTCCAGCTGTAATATCTTTCACTATTTGTAATATTTTTCTATGGTTGTGTGTGCACTTCACGTTCAGTAGTCCAGCTGTCTTGCTTAAAGTATGAATGGACATAGTGCAATTATTAATAATTATGCATAAAAACACATAATATGCAAGTTACATGGTGTGCATTTTCCCCCATAGTTTTATGCTTAAAGCTGACTTTACAGGACATGTCTGTATTATTTAGCTTAATGCTTATCAGTCCATAAATAAATGCCATCTATTTTACTTTAAACGGACACAGTGCAGTTATTAATGGTAACGGAAAAGCATTGCAAAAGTCCATCCCACCTTTGTGAGAGTCCATTTTTCCCCCAAACATCAATTTTTTCCCCTCCATGCCCCATCTGAGGCTCCATACTCTCTGCAACAGGTTGCCAGATAGCGTGAAGAGTTTCCAAAGCAACGATTTCACAAAACCCGCCAAATCTGCTAACACTGCTCTGGATCAAGCCAGGGTTTAGTCACATGATAATGTAGAAGGAAAGGCAGACTTTGGTCATTAAAAGCTGCCACTTTTCTTGCCTTATTTATTTTTCATTGGATTGTGAGAGACAGTTACCATTGGAGTCTAGAATGAAAAAACGAGTCGCAAAATTATAAATCTAGTTGCACTGGTGACCATTTAAGTCACCACCCGGAGCCCTGAAATATTGAAGATAAAGTTTTGTGAGCCATTGGAATATAATAAACAGAAGTTCACACCCCCAGGGCTGTGGGCTTAATCCCTGCCTCTAACTCCATGTCTGTTGTTTGCTTGTTCACTCTGTTTCCTCCTACAGTCCACAGACATTCAGCCAGGTGAGCTGCTCTCTCTCACTTGGTCATTGTGTTTGTCTGGGTGTGTTTTGCTGTCACTGGTAACCTGTCCAGCAAGTTGGCATCTTGTCAGCTTGTAACCAAACTCACCAGTTCCCTTATGTAGCAGCTGCGGTACACATTCTCCAAGTCCTCTTCCACAAGTGGGCACGCTCTGTCCACTTTGGTCAGTAGCACTACTAGAGGGACATCTAAAAACATCAATAGAAATGTGTCCCTAATCACATTTATTATGAAATATTGTATGGAATAACCCATTACCAGATGACACAGTTTCATAAGTAAGCTCATAGCAATCAGCACACTGTCTGTCTTACTCAGAAGCACCTGCCAGCATCACTCTGCCCTTCCTGAATCCACATGTTCATGCCACAACTTTCAGTCCCATCCCCTTAAGTGGCCTCTATGTGACAGAAAGCCCTTGAGTTTCTCCTAGATGGAGCAGCTCTGTGTAGAGGAGCATCCAGGAGCTCTTTCTGTTATGGCATAAGTACTGTTCATGTTAAAGGTATGGAATACTTTCAGTTTGCCACTTTCCAATCCAGGAAACCGAATTTCTCTTGGTAATTTTCTGAATATCCAAATTATTAGTCATTACTTCTCAGGGATGAGCTTACTTCTAATTATTCAGCATTGTCCATGTTTCCAGAAAGCCAGGTGATAACACACATTATTATTTCCATACAAATAGTTGATTTAGTTGTTTATGAATTAGATTAGATTAGATGCCGCCTCCCTCCTTGTTCTCCCCACTCACTAACCGTGCAAGCAACATTCCTTTCGGATTTCATCAACTTTCTTCTTCATGCCTTCGTCTAGAAGTCCAGGCGATGAGCTGTCCATCACGTACACCACACAGTGGATCCGGTCTGCAAGTGTCTGTGTGCTGCATTGCTGACAGTCAGCAGCTTCCTTTGGTTGTGAAGGGTTGAACTAAAGAAACAAAAAGGTGTGAATGATACATACAGACATCCATTGACTTTGATATCATGAGAAACTCAAGCTAAACAAGACCAGTAATTATAAATGTGTGACTTTTGCAAGCCATTACATCGATCAGACCTGCATGTATTCATTTAGCAGCTACTTTTGATGCCTGGTTAGATACACAGCTCTTACCCGGTACTCGTCTGGTATGCAGCCCTTCAGGATGCTCATTATATCTTTAGGGTTCACCCCTCCATGATCTGTTTGTTCCAATCCCATGGTGTCACACAGTAGGAATGCCAGTGGCTGTCCGCCTCGGCCTGCCTTCACCTTGTAAGTGCGATACTGGAAGAAGACACATGATGTCATTCATCTTCTGACAGCTTATACAGCTCAGCAGGTGCCTCAAACCTGGGGGCCACTGACAAGGAGGTGTTCAGCTCAAGGGACCTGCTTAAGTTTTTTGTTTTTGAATAATATAAAGATAATCCGCTAAACAGCCATCATTAAAATGTGTGTGTGTGTGTGTGTGTGTGTGTGTGTTGGGGGGGGGAGGGATTACACGATGTCCCCGAGTTGGGTGGGTTTTTCACAGTTCAGTCTCTCCCTAATGAAGACGACAAATGGCAACTGGGCAACATAATGAAATTATAAACAGCAGGGGGGTATTCTTCATACATAGTTTGAAACATTCAAGATCAGAGGACACAACCCAGAGTGTCTAATCGTGGAAACCATGATCCGGCTTTTTCGGTTCCTCAAAGCTGTGGGAGAACTGGATTATCCTCTTGAGACCCAACCTATTCATTTATTTCCATTGTAGTGGACATTGTATTTTTGCATTCACTGATGTTGGGAAATGTATTTATTCTTGTTGTGCACTAAAGAGGACATGCTGTGAAATTAAAATAAGAATAAATTTGAAAAAATCTAAATTGTAAGATGTCATTTCCTCCAAAGACAAATAGCCTACCATTGAAGGACACTTTTTTCCTTGGGTCTCAGGAGGTTATCCAAACTGGATTAAATGATCCGAAAAATTGCATGCTGCTGTGGACACTGACTAGGTCATATATCATGAAGCATGATACATACTGAAATATATATATATATATATATATATATATTAAACTGAAAAAAAGATATAACAGGTTTGAGTTTAAGGACTGGTTGCTATGACAACCAATCCAGCAAGAGTTTTGAAGAAATGACACACCTGGAATCTAGTAAATTTTTCAACAATTGAATACAGATAACTCGTTAATCAACATATGAAGAACATTCCTCAGATGTAGAGCAAACACCAAACTAGAATATCATCCCTCCTCTCAAGCAAGAACATTATATAAGAATACTTGGATACAAAAGTCTTACACCAGGAAATGAAGAGTTAGACAATCATATTACCTTCAAAGTCAGGCTGGTTGTCATTTCTCCAGCTCCAGCTTGGCTTGTAATGTTGCCACGGAAGATAGAGTTGATGGAGTTGAAGAAGCTTGATTTTCCAGCTTGAAGCCGACCAATTAGAAGAATCCGAGCCTGAGGCACTGAATCAATAGTGGGCTTGTAATCTAGCAGGTATTGCTTGAGATCAGTTTGTGTGCTAAAAGAACGGACATTGGAATTGGAAATGGGAATTAGTCAAAATTCATAAGGGATATAAACAATCCCATATCTAATAACATGTTACTACAGCTTCCTTTACATCTCATTAGTCATCTGCAACTGAAACCACTTAATGAAGTATCATACATGCTTATTAGAAAGTGTTTATTTATTTATTAATGTATTATTTACATGTGCTTTCAACCAAAGCTATGCAAGACTTAACAGTCTTTTTCAAGGACCCAATTGTGACGTCACTCTGCTGAACATACTGTAAGATCAGAATCTTCAGAATCTTTATCGCAACATAAAATTTGCATTGGCACAGCTTGCTACAATTTGAGACACCATGATAATAGACAATTAACAATTAGGGCATAAGCAGACAGATTTAATATAAGGCAAAAGATACACAACAGGGATGCATAAATGCAAGGTAGGTGATAAACACAGTTACCAGCTGGTGAGCTAACCTGCAGGGCCGCACACTGGCCAGTGTTTATATGTGAGCTTGTGTGGGGGGAGGAGGTTATACAACTCATGCATAAAAGTATGTGATGCTAGTAAAAAATAAACAAAAGTTGTTGATTATATTCGATAAAAACAGGCTTCATACCTATGGTCCCACACAACATTCCTCCATGGTTTACCAAGGAGTTCTGTTTTTTTCTCCACTGTCACTGGGGTACTGCTCCCACCTCCCATTTTCCAAACGCCAACGTCCAGACCTGTTCAATGAAAGCATTGTGTTTTCAATACTGGTCCACCAGTTCCTGGAGAAATTGGGATTAAGGGCCTTGTTCAAGGACCCAACAGGAAAAATACTGGGCCGATCAAAGGATCTGAACCAGCAACCTGCTGATTATGGACACAGAGTCACACTCTGCCCCATTACCCTTTTGCATCAAGCTTTTTAACAATATGCTTTATACATTTTCCAGACATCTTATGCTACAGGTGGCTTTGGAGTAAAATGTTTGTTAAATGGATTTTTACAGTGCTTGGAGTAGGAAAAACAGGTGCCGATACTCGCCTTGTTATCTTTTACTGATACTAGCAAATCATGAGAGTTGCCAACATGCTAGAAATGTTGCCAGTTCTCTGAAAAGAAAGACAAAGAGGTTCCGGTGCAGCCTCTCTCTGAGCAGCCCACTTCAAGCACTGGATTTGTACTTATACCTATTATACCCAGTACATTCAGGGCTGGTCCTCACCCATGTGGCGACCTGGGCAGGCATTACCAGCAGCGCCCCCCCTCCCCACCACCAACTCCAAAATAAATGCATAAACAATAAGAGTGAAGAAATAAAGATACTGGTGACTAAACAGTGCCTAAACCAATCCAGAGCATTAAAGAATGGCCTATTTTATTTAGAAGGCAAATTTGAATGTCAAATTGAACAATAAATTAACTTAAATGTATAAATATCTATCTATATATATATATATATATATATATATATATATATATATATATATACAGAACTTTTAACAAATTTACACAACATGATGCATCCACCTGCTTTTAAGTGTACCCATGCAGCGCCAGATGCGTCATTAAATTTGATGTGCCCCCCCTCTTTCCATGCAGTTGTTTTTAAACACATCCTGGTGTCGGAATCCTTTTGAATGAAATGCCGGGCTTTACACTGTTCAGCTTTAGGCTTTTTAACTGGGTTTGAGGTAGCTACTGGCTAACGGTAGCGTGACATCAGAGCAAGTGGAACATGAACCAGAGAGGGAACATAAGGTGCAGTGACGCTTCTGTTGCCTGAGCAAAAGTGGGCAAATATCAGCAGTTAAGACATTTAATTGACACCAAAATACGGCAACAAAATCTTAACTTCAATACAGTCCTGTACAAACTCATTGGTACACATCCCTATTGTTCATTGTTTAATATTAATTAAATTTGTCTGCCTAATGCAAAAAGTATACATTTTTGTAACATTTTCATATAATAGGGGTAGTGCTGCACGATCAATTGTTTTTGAATCGCAATGTCGATTCATACCCTCATGCTATTTCTTTGTAGGACTGAATTGCAGGGCAAAAAACATCATCAAGGACAGCTCCCACCCTGGTAATGATCTGTTTGACCTGTTGTCCCCAGGGAGGCGCTACAGGTGCATCACAGCAAGGACAAACAGACTCAAGAACAGTTTTTTCCCAAAAGCCATAACCACTCTAAACTTGCACATGCATTGACTGGACAGTAGACTACACAGTCTAACCCCCCAAACCCTGGACTTCCTTCTATGAACTGTGCAATACCTGTATACTGTGCAATATCACTGCTCTGTATCCAACATCCACTACTCACTGCACATGATCATTATTACCATGTAATACCTAAATAACGTGCGATAACCCACACTGCATATCACACTGTATATTCATATATTTAAAAAATCCTATTTAGTTATTTATTCTTATAAATATATATAGCGCTGCAGAACTTTTTGCACTACATGTATTTGTTTATTGTTTGTCATGTCTACATGTTTGCACTGAAGGAGCTACTCTTAATCTCATTATACATGTGTATAGTGACAATAAAAAATTCCTGAATCATTGCCACTTTATAATAAGGCTAGCCTTATAAAGGGATCATGAATGGTTTATAAGCAGGTCATTAATTAAGTTGTAACACTTTGTAAACCATTACTTGACAATTATAAACAAGTTATACCACAGTTTTCTTCATATTAATGAGTTACTACCATTTATAAGTAGCAAAGGGTAGCCTTACTGTAAAATGGAACCCCTGGATCCCAATGCGATTTCATTCTTACAGGGCAACAATTCAGCCACTCCCTTCTCAAAATGATGGACTCTTCATACTCCTATGAAACCTCATGTTAAAATCACACAGATTATGCTTTGCTATAATTTAAACAAAATGACAGTTACATCTTATCTTATAAGTCATTTTAAAGAAGCCATATATTTATTGGCATTGGTGGCTTGATGGTCAGGGAAGCGCACTTGAAATTGAAAGATTGCAGGTTTAAATCCCCGACCAGCAAGGCACCACTGAGGTACCCTGAGCAAGGTACCGCCCCTAAGCACTGCTCCCCGGGCGCTGAATTAGCTACCCCCTGCTATGTCACATTGTCACATATGGGTTAAATGCAGAGGACACATTTCGTTGTTGTACACTGTGTGCTGTGGTGTGTCAACAATGACCATTGATCACTAAATTCTAAAATGATTTCCCTGACGTAAGTTTTCTCAAGGAAAAAATAGCCCAAAATGTACGGCACTTATTTAGCAGTTAAGAATTCCTAGAATATTTTTTGTATTAATATTGGTTATGAAATCTTTCTACACATCTACATGAGTTACCCAGGAATAACACATTTTTAGGACAACGATTACTAACAATTCCTAACAATCAAAAAACATTGTGTAACCGGACATCTCACAAAAGCACTAAGTTATAGGACTTCTTACATTTTGTACACTGTTGAAATATACATATTTTCCAAATATTCACCTTTTCCAAACAATCTTCTACCGATTTTGATTTTACAGATTATTGTGAAAATGACTCTGTAATACATAAATATTTGAATGTAGGAGTTACAACATTTTGTATAGACACGACATTTTTCATTTCATAGTTCATAAATATTTCATATTGCAGCAATTCTCATTTCATGGTTATCATATACGTAAGCTGACATAAGATGCTTGGCTATAATTTAAACTTAAAGGAAGTTACAAATTATCTTATAAGTTACTTTATAGTAAATCATTCCTCAAATGGATCCTTGTATGCAGACAAAGCTTCATATCCACGGGTTCCGCACTTGCGGATTCAAGCAGCCGTGGACCTCGTCTGCACTGAACATGTAGGCCTACAGGCTGTTTTTTTCGTGTCACTATCCCCTAAACCAGTGTATTTCAACCTTTTTTGAGCCACGGCACATTTTTTATACTGAATAAAATCCCACGGCACACCACCAACCAAAAATGCTACAAAATGACACTATGTAGTCTAGTAATGAGAAAATAGTCTCTCAGTTTATTTATACTCACTCATTGTGAAACCTGAGCCTGTTTGGATGTACACAAAGCTGATATCCTGGATAGGAATTGAATTCAGACACACAGAAAGCTCTTTCTCAACAGCTCTCAGTCTCTCTCTCTTTTTAGTTTTTATGAGTCAGGCTTGAAAAGCTCAGCTTAAAGAGATATGTCGTGGAAAATGGGAGTAATGTTGAAAAAGTTTTGTTTGTTTAGAATACATCAGTATTACAGTACAGACACTCAAGAATGGCATATTATTTGCAAATAATAATTAATTTTCAAAAAAGTTTTTTAGACCAATTAAGTGAATTTGGATAATTCCCCACGGTACACCCTACAATGTCTCAAGGCACACTAGTGTACCTGCCACGGCACAGTGGTTGAAAATCACTGCCCTAAACAATACATTAGGTCTATAACCTCTATTTACATGCTATTTACATTGCATTAGGTCTTATAAATAATGTAGAGTTTGTTTAAAGTATACAGGAGGATGTGCGCAGGTTATATACAAATACTACCCCATTTTATATAACGAAAAAATACGAGTAGGCTTACCGGTTCTTATTTAACGTTTACTAATTATTAGAATAAGTTTTATTATCCATATTGGTTATGAAATCTTGCTATACGCATCCATTTGAGTTCTCTCACGGTTCGAGAATAACGGTAACTGACATTTTCAGCCAAAGACTTCTTGTATTTAGTCCGCGTTTCAGTTTGTTTCCCCTGTCCGTCCGTCTGCGTTTTGCTTGCCTTACCTGTAATTAAACCCTGTATTCCCCGATACCCGGACGTCTGCGCCTTTGTCCCCGTTCTGTCCCCGCTAGGCGCATGACAATATTATTAAAATTAAATGTATTAATGGTTTATTAATAATGATATTAAAATAATTAATAAGAAATCTTTATTTTTAAATGTATTTTATTATATAATAATAATTTCTTTTATTGCCTATCATTGTCTAAATGTATTTTTAGTGTCTAAATATATGTATTCAGCTAGTGTAAACATGCACGATGCTATCACAGTCAATGCGAGGCTGAGACTGACGCATTACCCTTTGTTTCCGCTGAGACGTGCCACGTGACTCATTTCCCCGCGCATACAAGTTATCTTAGGTCGGCGTTCACGGTTCGACTTCCGAGATTCTGTTCGAATTCTAGGTATTTTTTTTCGAACTGGTTGGTTCGACTTTTAAGAAATTCGAGTTCTAATGAGTTCGAGAACTGAGGTACCACTGTATTCATACTTATTTGAGAAACTCACCTTTTCCAAACACCACCAGTTTTTACAGTTAGCCAGAAACTCCAGTTAGATTAATAATCATACGTGTTCAGCAGCTGGGCTGCACCGCCTGAATCTGTCAGGGTATTCATGCCCCACTGCGCCCCTACGTACAATTGCTGACGTACAATGCTTTACTATAATTTAAACATAATGGAATTTTCGACTTTTAAGCCATTTGGGAGCAAATTGTTTGTGCAAATGTTTTGTTGTATGTTTATATTTGGTATATTACAAACATGTTTGGTTAATTATCATAGCAGGCACGTGCAGGGGGGAGGGCGGAGGGTGCTTGAGCACCCGCCCCTTTCCTCCAGGATGCCTCAAGTGCCCTTTTCTTGGGTTTTTTTTGTTGTTGTTGTTGTTGTTGTTTTTGTTTTTTTTAATGTGTATGTGCCATAGCTGTCAAGTCTCCCGTTTTGGCCGGGAAACTACCGTATTTTACCCCTCTTTCCTGCCGTCCTCCCGTATTAGTATTTTATTTTATTTTTATTTAATTTTATTTATTCCCGTAAATGTCCCGTATTATAATATCAGTTAAAAAAAATCCTCTGCCTCTCCAAACTGAACTGCCAGTAGCCTCGCGAGAACTGCCACCTGCAGTAATCTGCAGGTCATTTACAACATTAACCAGGCCATAAATGCGGAGGTTAAAATTGCAATGCTGTGTGCGAAAAACAACGTTACTTTCACCTTCTGTGACGACTTCAACAAGGATACAAAGTCTGCAACAAATCTGTATAATAAGTCATTAGTGAATGCCAAAAAGCCACACCAGTGAACATGAGAAATTAAAAGAAAATGTGTAATGAAAATAAAATGTAAATGACAAGTGGTTATTTTAGATTTCTTGTACACCTGTCTTAAAATGTAAGGGATACTGCAGCTTGGTTGGGGTGGTGGGATGGCTCGCGGTTGGTGCCGGAAAATTTCCCTTATTTTCAAATCCAAAACTTGACAGGTATGGTATGTGTGTATGGTACGTATCCTGTCTTTGCCCCTCAACAATAAAATGTAACTATTAATCTCAATTTTGCTAAATAAAAGGATCTGGCTTGCATCAGTCACATGACTGCCATTAACCAATGCTCACCCTTGAGGGCAGAGCGCGCTCGTTACGAGCCGGGTACGAGCTCGCAAAGCACACACGCATTTTCTGCAGGCTGGGTGGTGCGGAGCTGGAGGAGAAGTAGGCAAATTAAATGGAAGGTGCAGACTGCAACAAAACAGTAAATAGGGTGTACAGCGCACACTATAGTCTATAACAATAAATGAATTGAAATAAATGAGCGTGCTGTTTGTGCAACAGCGCGACAAACATTACCTGTCCTTTTATGAACTGCACAAGTACACTGTAAAAAAAAAATGTTCAGCCAACTCAAAAATTCAAGGCAACATGTTGCGATAACATTTTTGAGTTAAGCTAGCCAACTCAATTACAGAAGTTTAACAAACCTATAGACAGAGGTTCAACTAACTTTGACTTAAGAGTTAAGGCAACACTAATACCAGTTACTAAAAAGTTGCCTTGTTTAGCGTAATAAAAAACTTATATTACCATTAGAACTCACTGAAAAAAGTG